CTCGCGGCGCGTCGCGGGCGAGCGGCGACGCGCGCGCGCGCGCGGAGTTCGCCCGCGTGGACGCGCGCGCGCGGTGAGAGGGGCGACGACGGGATGTCGGGCGACGATGACACACCGGCGGCGGGTGACGCGTCGACGACCGTCGGCGCGACGACGCGGACGATGGACGATCTGGGCGCGCGCGTGGACGCGTTGACGTGTTTTCTCCCACCGAGGGTGATGACGTCGCTGCAGGCGCGATCGATCGAGCGGCTGACGACGATTCAGGAGCGAACGCTCCGGGCGGCGCGGGCGGCGCGGACGGATGTCGTGTGCAGGGCGCCGACGGGGAGCGGAAAGACGCTCGCGTACGTCCTGCCGATCGCGGACGCTTTGTGGTGTGAGAAAGAATCGAGGGAAGGCGAGGACGGGGTGCGGGCGATGATCGTGACGCCGACGAGGGAGTTGGCGGCGCAGGTGGCGGCGGAGTGCGAGCGGTGCTGCGGGACGGAGTCGTGCGCGGTCGTCGTCGGTGGGGCGTCGGCCAAGGTGCAAGAGGACGCGATTAAGGTGAAGCGAGCGAAGATTGTGGTGGGAACGCCGGGGCGGTTGAAGGAGTTCGTCGAGCGCGGGGTGATTGATCTGCGGACGGTGGAGACGCAGGTGCTGGATGAAATTGATCGGCTCCTGGACGGCGGGTTTGAGGGTGAAATCGAGGCGGTGATGCGCCCGCCGGGGGCGTGTCAGACTTTGTGTTTTTCAGCCACGATCTCATCGTCGTTGTCGAGGTTTTTAGATCGCAGGCTCGTCCCGGGATATGCCGAGATCGTGTCCGAAGGTTTGGGCGGATCGAACGTCGGCGGACGCGTCGAGCATTTTTGCTTCGCCACGAAGGCAGGAGACGATGCGATCGGGATGGCGGTCGCACAGGCGTTAGAGCACTACGCGATCGAGCGTGTTGATGGGAAGGTTGGTGGTCAGGCGATCGTGTTCACGGAGACCAAATTGACGGCGGAGCGCGTGCGCGCGACGTTGACCAATATGTTCACGACGGTGCGTGTTTACATTTTTCTTTCGATCCAAAACCAGGTCTACAGTCTCGTCGCGTCGCTCATCGTCGATGACGAACAAAACTTAAGGGATTTATGAGATTGGATTCATTCCATGTTCGAACCAAAGACTACAATTCTCCGAGACGATGAAGACTGCGGCGACGACAGACGACGGACCGAGTGGATTATTTTCCTCCTACAAGCGAGTTCCAGATGATTGCTAACATTACCTACATTCCCTGAGAGAAGACGGTGATTAAAACTCTTATCGATAACCGTTGATGGAACGAACTCTCGTTGACCAATTTTTTGCTTTTTTGCTCGCTCACGTTCAATGGCGATGAAGATACCACTCTTATCACATGTTAGACTGTCGAGATCGAAGGGTGAGGATCCTTCGATCGATGTGCACAACCAATGAGCGAGTCATTGAGCGTGAGCGAGACACGATGCCTCTTCTATTCGCGAGGAACTTTCCCTCGCTCTTTCGTGATGTGAATCGAGACTGACCATGAATGTGCCCGCAGGAATTCAACTCAGGGAAACGCGCTCGACGCGTGTCGACCTTACACGGTGATCTGCCGCAGCCGGCGCGAGACGCGACTCTCGCAAGTCTGCGGTCGGGAGAGGTGGACGTTTTAGTGGCCACGGATGTGGCCTCTCGAGGTTTAGATTTACCCGGGGTGGAGCTTGTGGTGCACGCCGACGCGCCAAAATCGGCGGATACGTACTCTCACAGAGCTGGACGCGCCGGGCGCCCGGGGTGCGCAGTGCCGGGTGTTTCGCTTCTCCTTTCACGACCAGAATCGTCTACGGAGACGGCACGTCTCGAGCGTGAGGCGAAGATTACGTTTCGCCGTCTCGTGCATATCGGCGAGCGCTCTCGCGAGCGCGTCACGGGCGATTTGAATCTCGACCTCGTCGAACGCATCGATCGCGGGCCGGTTGAGGAGCGTCGTCATGATTCTCTCATCTCTGACAATTTCGCGGCGTTCGCGGCGGATATTCAGCTGATCGGAGAGAAGAAGAAATCGACGACAAAGAAAAAGCGAAAGTGATCGAACCTGGATGTTCAAATGTGTAATTTTATATTAGCGCAAACATACACCGAAGCGTCCGACACGCGTACATTTTATCGTTAGAGATTCATTTCCACCTAAAGTCTGAATTCATTCACGACGTCACGCCTTACTTGCAAGACTTCATTCAAGAAGTCACGCCTTACATTGAAGTCGCGCCGGTCTCGGCGTTCGAACTTGCCCGATTTCATCTCGCTCAGTTTTGTGAAGATTCTTTGGGCTCGCAAACACACGTCGAGATACTCCCCCTCGGGTGCGAGCTCAACCGCGTACGAATCGATGAACGACATGATGTTTTGCAAATCATTCATCAACGGATCGGTCGGATCGATGAGCTTCAAAACTTGCGCGAACTCGTTTGGCTCGTCTTCGTCGTCGTCTTCAGCCGCGCGCCTCCTCACCGTCTCGATAAGCTTATTCAAATCATCCCCGGTCGGCAGAGGACAGTCTCGATCGAGAGCATATTTCAAGCACCCGAGGTATCCGTGATACGCCGCCTCGTACGTCGTTCGCCAGTTCCAATTGCAGCCGTGCTCGCGCGCCCAGATCAAAACGTGCAAGTGCCCGTTGTACGCCGCTCCCGACGTCGTCTGCTCGTCCCAAGGCACCCCACGCTCTCGCAACCACGCCAAAAGGTCTAGATCGCCCTTCCTCGCCGTGAACGCGCACGTCATCGCCCCCGACGGACACCCGTTCGTCACCAGGTACTTCAACGTCTCCGCGCGCGCGTTCTCCGCCGCCTCCGTGCACGCCTTTTCGTCCCACTCACACGGCGGTTCGAGCGTTCGCAGGTACTCGATCATCTCGAGGTGTCCACGCGCGGCCGCCCCGGCGATCGTCCACGGTCCGGGGATCGCGCCGTCGCCCTCGACGCTCGCTCGAACGGCGTCGAGCGCTGATTCGTTCGAACTATTGAGTGCACCTCTCGCGGCGGCGTTGAGCGCCGACTCGTACGGATCCGGTGCCGCGCGCGCGCGTTCGCGGACGCGTCGATCGTGATCGAGCTCGGCGTCCGAGCGTCGAGCGCGTTTGGCGATGCGCGCGTCGCGTCGATCGTCGCGCATCGGCGCCATGATCTGAGGCGCCGGCAAGGGGGTGCCCGCTTTTGGGAAGCGCGCGGGCGCGGACGCGCGAGGGCGGGTCGTGATGACGTCGGAGATCTACTTTGCGAGCGATGAGTCTTCAGTATTCAGGTTTTGACGCGCGGACTAATAACGCGTAGTCGACGTACGCGTTACGACGCTCGGAGAGGCCGGGGAGGTAGAAGATCCGCGTGAGCGTCGGCGATCGCGTCGCGTCGAGGAACTTTTCGACCTTTACGTCGACCCAGTCACCGGAGGCGAACGCTTTTGAGCGCGAGTGCGTGTTCGATTCATCGAATCTGGCCTCGACGAGGAAGCGGCAGTCGCTCGGATCGACGTATTGGTTCGGGTGTTCCTCGTTGTCGTCGTTGAGACCCTCGGGCGTGTGCGCTGAGCCGCCGCGCGCGGGATCGAACGGCATCGGTAGCGCGCCGTTGAATCCGCCCTTGATGAAACGAAGTCGATATCGATTCGACGGAAAATGATACGAGCTCGGGAATCGGTACCACTCGTCACCGACGCACACGTTCACCGTGGCGTCGGCGCCCGCTTGCTCGAATTCCTCAGCCAGGTACGCCGGCCAAGCAACGCCGTCGGCGCGCGTCGATGGTTTCGGCAGCGCGGCGTACATCTTCGCCGGAGCACCGTAGTACTTTAACAGCGCCATCGTGCGCGAGACGGAGCACACCGCGGTGGCGAGCAGAGACGCTACGACGCCGAAGACGATGAGGCGCTCACTGAATCGAGACTTGCCAAAAGTATGCCTGTTAATCGCGAGCGCGCTCTCCCCGAACGCTGCCACGGCAACGGCGGCGCTAAGACACAGACTCGGGTAGATCATATACAGGAAGCGCTCCTCCTTGTGCGGAATCATCGTGAAGAAGGTGGTGACCAACGGAAATGGCGTGCACACAGCGAGAAACACACGCCATGAATTCCTGTACGTCTCGACTTCAGCGAGCGCCGTTTTTGCGTCCTGTTTCTTTGTCTTTAACAAAACTCGCGTGCTCCAAGCCTTGGCGGCCACCGCGATGGCGACGGCGAATGGAGCGAGCGCGGCAAAGACGAGTGCCAGTTGGAAATTGAGCGCCAAATTTTTCGCGTAAAACAGCATCCCCTCGACGCCGTACAGATCGCTCTTCCCGCTCGCCACGTTGTACCTCAACAGATTCACCACCGAACTCACAGCCTTAAAGTTCCCCGGCGGGTTGTACATGTACGTGTCGCACGCCACCGATACGACAGCCGCGGCGGTTGTGGCGACGACAATGACGCGCGCCGTACGCCACACCCCGATCCCGTACACCGAGTACAACCCAAACGGCACCGCCGCGATCCCACTGAACGGCCAACCGAACACCACCGCGACGACGCACGCGACGCACGCACGCGCGTGCTCTCCCCTCAGCGTCGCCGCCGTCGCCGCGGTGACGCACGTCATCGCAAACGAGCTCGGCAACATCGACGTCGACGCCACCGCCATCCCTCCGCTCGTCGCCAACAAAACAATCAAAACTCCTCCCACGAGCGGTCGCCTCTTCGCGCACGCGTCGACTAAATCCGCCTCGAACCACGCGGCGACGCCGCCCAGCGCCGCTCTGGTCGCCACGAACGCCGCGCGCTTCGCGTCCACGCCCGCGACCGCCCTCACGATCGCCCCGATCGGCCAGTGCGCGAACAGATACGCGTACGACCGCAACGCGAACGCATCACCGTGTTCCCACGTTTGTAAACCGTGACCAAAGGTCAAGAAGTGTAGGGGCTCCCAGTAGTTGAAGCTCTCATCGCAGTCGAACGCGTTGAAATGCGCGCTGATGAAGAGCGCGCGCGCGGTGGATATCGCCACGAGCGCTCTCGCGAAGAAATCCTCGCGACGCATCGCCCCCATCGCGACCGGCGTCGCGCTCCGACGCGACGCGTCGCTCCGGAGCGCCAAAAACATGTCACTGTAAACGAACGGTGAACGCTCGAAAGGCATCGAAACCGGCGTGAAAAATCCCAAAGGCGAAAAACCACCATTCAATGTGGAACCCCTTTCGATGCGCGCACTCGGCGAAAACCGTGACCCCGATCGGGACGCGAACGAACATCACACGTCGACGCCGTTCCGAGCGTGCGTCGACCGCGCGACCGAACGCGCGCCGTCCGCGACAGTTCCTTCATCGCGCGATGTCCGCCAACGCCTCGTTTGAGGAGTCCGTCGTCGCGTTGAAGTCCATGTTCCCGGACATCCCGGAGCTGGTCGTGCGAACGACGCTCGAGGCGAGAGACGGACACGTGGAGAGCTCGGTGGAGAAGCTGTTACAGATGTCGCGACGGGGTGGAGGTGGACACACGCAAGTCGGCGGGTTCGATCGCGCGCCCGGCGCGATCGGGATGTCGCCGTCGTCGAGGAACGGGTACGTTTTAGTGCCGAGACGCGTCGGCCCGGGTGTTCGCGTGAGCGGCGTTTCGTGGGCGTGATGACGCGCGCGAGGGGTGTTTCGGGCGATGAAGGGGTTTGTTGGACGAGCTAAAAAGTGTTGCGTGCGATGGAATCCTGTGAATGCGGATCCACGGCGCGCGGGCGATGGGAGAGGGCGATCTAGAGCGCTGATCACGAACGGGTATTGGACGAAAATGTGACACGGGGTGACTGACAGGCTTTTTTGACGTAATCGCAGAGGATACGGGAACGGTGGTTACGGTGATCAGTCCATGGGGTCGCAGGATTATTACTCTAACGTGCCGCCGCCTCGAGAGGAGGATTCGCTGTGGGATTGGCTCACGGGGCCCTCAACAGCCGGGAACAGTTCGAACGACGAGACGTGGAACTGGATATCGAACCAGATGTCGTACCTGGCGCTCGAGGCGTCGCGCCAAATTAAAGGGGTGACGGATGCGATCGCAGAGGAGATTTTGGGTCCTCCTGAGGAGGAGTTAGGCGAAGAAGTGGAGGAGATCACTGAGGAGGAGCGGGAGCGGGCGGACGTGGTGTCGGGCGGCATGTCGACGCAGGCAAGTCGACGCGCGCCAAAGGCGAAGAAGGATACGCCTCCGCCGAAGAAGAAGCCCGGCAATCGCGCACAGGAATATGAGGAGGAGGACGACGACGCTCTGGGCGCCGTCTTGAACCTTCTCGGTCTGGAGGATGAAGACGAAGAAGAGGAGTACGTGCGCCGCGACTCGAAAAAGGATAAGTGATGCAACGGAGACGCTGAAATGATTCATGTTTCGGCGGTTCGAAGCGAACCTTGTACATTGCAATGGAATTTGATACGTATTTACGTCGACCGCGCGCGCGCGAAAGCAAGGCGAAACACGATCGCTCCTGAGACATGCTACGTCACGAGTTGAGCTCAAGCGCGTCGACGCCATGACACGCGTCCGTGACTGCTGACTCAAAAGAAATGAACGATGACGTACTGTCAACGCTAGAGCGCGGTGTTAGAGGAATCTTCACGCGCGGCGGTGCGTGCTTGGCGATTCGGAACTTGGCCGCAGTGGCTTCTTGCGCGAGTCGACGCCGTCTCTCCTTCTGTAACCGCTTCAATCGCTCCTTCGTATTTTCCTTCTCCTGAGCCACAACGAGCTTGTGAAGTGCGTCAAAGTACTCCTCGTTCGTTTTTTTACGAGGCTCCGCGTTGACATCGACGGAATCGTTCCACGCCGCTTTCGTTTGTTGCCGCGGTTGTTCACGCTCGCGAGCTCGCGCTGACTCCGCCGCTTCTCGCGCAGCTCTTCGCGCTCGACTCCTCTTCGCCATGACAGCCGTTCGAAGCGCGTGGCGCCTCTTCGCCCGCAAAGCCTTTTCGTCTTCTCTGAAGTTTTTCTCGTGCACAACCGTATCCTTGGGCGCAGTCGCCTCGCTCGTCCGTCTCGGCGCTTGGACGTCGGCGCTCGCTGTTGACCGAACCGCCGGCGCCTCCGTCTCCCGCTGTGCCCGAACGCATCGCACCGTCCCGCGCCGTCGTCCGACCGCAGTACCTCGGTTAACGACTCTCAATGCTCGTATCTCCCTCCGCGCGCGTCCGAGCTCGCTCTCGCGCCGTTCGCACGCCTCGCACGCCCCTCCGTCCTCCGTCTGCGCGCTCGCGTCTCTCGCGCTCGCGTCTCGCTCACCACCATCCGTCTCCACCCCCTCATCCTCGACCACAGCGTCATCATCGACCACACGCCTCTCCGCGAACGCTTTCGCGACGTCCGCCGCCGCGAGCGCTCCCACGGCGTCCATGAACCTCCCGACCTCCTCTCCGCGCACCATCGTCTCAAAAACCGGTTCATCTCCCACGCCACCGAACCACGCCACGCCGCCCCCCATCGCCGCGCTCGACCGCCGTGGACGACGACACAATTCGTCTTCCGTCGCCGTTCCGTCTCGCCGGTCCCGCGTCCGCGCCCGTCGCGCGCTGACGCGTCCGTGTGAATCCGAATCGTCTTTTTCTTTCCATGCACCCCGCGTCCCGTTGACCCGATCGTCCATCGTCGAACGCCGCGTCCCATCTCCGCGCGCTCGAGACGCGCGCGCGCGATGCTCCGACGGGTGACGGACGCGCGCGCGTTCGCGAGCGCGTCGCGCGCGCTCGCGTCCGCGACGGGCGTCGGCGCGCGACGCGGCGCGGGATCCAGCGCGGAGGCGCCGGTGCAGGAATTCCACCACGCCCCGCTCTTCGCGACGACGACGGCGAAAACGGACGTCGAATGGCGATTGGTGACGCGAGAGGGCGTGCGTGAGGTCCAGAGCGCGGGCGGGGAGACGTTCCTGGAGGTGCGGGCGTCGGCGCTGCGGGCGCTGGCGGCGAGGGCGACGCGGGACGTCTCGCACCTGTTGCGACCGGGACACCTGCGACAGTTGCGGAAGATACTGGATGACGCGGAATCGTCGAAGAATGATCGGTTCGTGGCGTTGGAACTGTTGAAGAACGCGTGTGTCGCGGCTGGGATGGTATTGCCGGGGTGTCAGGACACCGGGACGGCGATCGTGATGGGAAAGCGCGGCGGGCGAGTGCTGACGGATGGCGACGACGAAGAGGCGCTCAGTCGAGGGGTGTACGACACGTATACGACGACGAATCTGCGGTACTCTCAGGTGGCGCCGCTGACGATGTTCGAAGAGAAGAACACGGGGACGAATTTGCCGGCGCAGATAGATCTGTACGCGACCAGTGGGGATGAGTATCACTTTCAGTTTATGACAAAGGGCGGCGGGAGCGCGAACAAGACGTTTCTGTATCAGCAGACCAAGGCGGTGCTGAACGAGGCGAGTTTGATGTCCTTCTTGGAGGAGAAGATTAAGACGATTGGAACGAGCGCGTGTCCGCCGTATCACCTGGCCGTCGTCATTGGGGGATTGAGCGCCGAGTTAAACCTGAAGACGGTCAAGATGGCGAGCGCGAGGTATTACGACAATCTGCACACGTCTGGGAGTGAGCTCGGACGCGCGTTCCGGGACTTGGAGTGGGAGGAGAAGATTTTGAAGATGACGCAAGACATGGGAATCGGCGCACAGTTCGGTGGGAAATACTTTTGCCACGACGTGCGCGTGATCCGCCTGCCGCGTCACGGCGCGTCGTGTCCCATTGGCATCGGCGTCTCGTGCTCTGCCGATCGTCAAGCGCTCGGTAAGATCACCAAAGACGGCGTTTTTATCGAAGCACTCGAAACGGATCCCAGCAAGTACCTCCCGGACGTCACGGAGGGCGCGCTCTCGAACGAAGTCGTGCACATTGATTTGAACCAACCAATGGCTGACATTTTGGCAAAGCTCAGCCAGTGTGAGGTCACGACGAGGCTCACGCTCACCGGCCCGCTCGTCGTCGCGCGCGACATCGCGCACGCCAAGCTCAAAGAGCGACTCGATCGCGGCGAGGATCTGCCGCAATACATGAAGGATCACGCGGTGTATTACGCCGGTCCCGCCAAGACGCCCGAGGGCATGGCGAGCGGCTCCTTCGGCCCCACCACCGCCGGTCGCATGGACTCTTACGTCGATCAGTTCCAAGCCGCCGGCGGCTCGATGGTCATGCTCGCCAAGGGTAACCGTTCGGGTGCTGTCACGCGCGCGTGCAAGACCCACGGCGGTTTCTACCTCGGATCCATCGGCGGTCCCGCCGCGATTCTCGCGCAAAACAACATCAAAAAGGTTGACGTCTTGGAGTTCCCCGAGCTCGGCATGGAGGCTGTGTGGAAGATCGAGGTCGAGAATTTCCCAGCCTTTGTCGTCGTCGATGACAAGGGGAACAACTTTTTCTTGAAATGGACCGGTTAATCGCCCGCGCGTGTGATCAAACCAAACCGCGCGCCGTCGCGCGCCGACTTTCCGTTTGTCGCCCGCGCGCGCGCCCTAACAGCCAAAAAATGCACATCCGCACCCGCACTCACGCGCGCGTCATCGATCGCCATGCCCGACGACGCCGTCGACGCGCTTCAAACGGTGGACGTGAACGCCCCCGTGCCCCAATCATCGGACGCACCGTCGCAGGAGGAGCGTAAACGCGTCGAGAATGTTCAAAATCAAATCTCGACAGCTCGCGATGATCTCCCTCTCAAGGACGATTCCGGCGCCGATGACGCGCCTTTGACGGCGTCCAAGGCGGGAGAGACGCCCACGGGCGCGTCGGTGCAACCAACGGCGAAGAAGCCGAGGACGACGAACGGGGAGCGCGCGCCGAGGGAGATTGATCTCGACGCGCTCCCGGAGACCCTGCGCGAGTGGAAGACAAACGCGGAGCGCGAGCTGAGAAGTCTGTGGGGGAAACATCGTCTGCGGTTGCTCGATTGGTTCGAGGTGAAGGGTTCGATCAATAAGTGCATCGTGTCGTGCCCGAGCGGGGCGCTCAGGGAGAAGATGCGAGAGCTGAGGGACGACGGCGTGTTCGGGAGCTCGATGGTGCCCTATTTGCAGCTCCTGCGAGACGTCTTCGACGAGACGGATGAGTACAAGGATAACCTGGATGATGAATTGAATTACGATGACTTTTACGACGACGATAGCGAAGACGAAGATAGCGATGAGGACGAAGACGAAGAGGATGAAGCGGATGAAGAGGAGGAGATTCCGCAAATCGCGCGCGCGCCAAAGGCGACGCCCGCGACCGAGCCGACGCGAAACGCGAGTAAACCCGGCGCCTCACGCTCAGCGCCGACGACGGAGGAGATGGATGAGATCAGGATTAAGTTTAGCAAGTTCTGTCAATTTTTGGGTCAGTACTTCTCCGAGAAGCGCTGCGAGGTCGAGGACGTGGTCGAGATCGTGGACCGCGCTCGCGAAGACGGCTTTGAGGACGCCCAAGAGGTGAACAAATTCCTCGAGATCATGCAGCGTAGAAATATGATCATGTACGACCAAAACGACTGGCGCGTGTACATATTGTAATCCACACCGAACGGCACGCGCGCATCGCACCGCGGCGAACCGAACGCGACGTCCAACCGCCTCACACCGCGCGTCGGCGCGAGACGGCGCACGGTGCACTTTTCAAATTTCAAACAATCCATCCACACTCCCCGACGCCTCCGAGGGCGTCAAAAATGACCACACAGGACGCGCGCGAGGCCATCAGAGATCTTCGCGCGTACGTGCGAGCGAAGGAACGCGTGGACATCTACGATATCGGGGAATGGCGCGCGGAGATTCGATTTCGAAAATCAGGCGATTCAGCTGGAGTCAAAGATAAATACTTCTACGCCCCGTGTGGGACGCGTTTTCGTAGTCAAAAGGACGTTCGGGCGTTCGCGGTGAAGGCGATAAAGTCCGCGGGAGCGAAGTCGGGGGAGAAACGGCGCGTCGAGACGGTCGAGAGAGGGGTGAAGCGAATGAAAAAGACGAGCGCGCCGAAGAAGACTGCGAAAGAGGCGGCGTTTGAGGAGTTTTTGCAGCAGGTGGCGGCGGTGACGGGACGGGACGTTCGTGGAGATGGATGGCGCGTCGAGTTGTTCGAGCGGAAGAGCGGGAAGGGGGGGGCGTGGAAGGAGTTCTTTTCGCCGCGCGGGCACAAGCTGCGGTCGATGAGAGAGGTGTTTCATTATCTGTCGCACATGAACTCGATCGATGAGGTGCGAACGGGGGAGGAGGAGGAGGAGGAGGAGGGGGGAGAAGGCGCGCGGCCGAGCATGGAGGAGCTCGAAGAGATCGAACGGAGGGAGGCTGAGAAGCACGCGGCGTTGATTACTAGGCCGGTTACGGCGTTGGTCGAGCGCGCGGCTCCGAGTGTGCAAGTCACTGGCGTCGAGGTGGACGAGGATATGGACGAAGATCGACTGGCGATGCAGTTCATGGATATCACGGGATTTGAGCCGCTGTACGAAACCGTGGAGGAGCTTCGCGCGATGGTGAAGAAGGAGCGCGCTCAGGCGGCCGTTAAGATAAACGACAGCTCGTCGGCGTTCAAATTTAACACCTCCAGCCGTAGCCAGCGAATGACGTTAGAGGAGCTTCCGAACGGCTCGAGGTCTGCGCGAGAAGAGGATGAGCGTAAGAGAGTGGAACAGCGAGCGCTTATCGACAAGATGAAGGCGAAGAATCAGAACGTTGAGGATTTCATTGGTAACATCTCTGAGGCGGATTGGAGGGGTGACGGGCGCGTACCCAAGTTCTTAGGGAATACATCCGTTCCCGATATCGTGCGAGGAGGCACGCGGATTGGAGCGGCGCCGCAGATCGCCGGAACTGAGGCCGAAATCAAGTGTTTACCGAGCACAAAGCCCGCGGCAATCCCGGAAGTGGATCGACCCCCGTTTGATCCCACCGATACCAACGCAGTGTCGACGCTGAAAGCGGCGATGCATACGAGCGCGACGCCTCAAGAGACTCGGTGCCGCGATATAGAACGCGCCAAAGTCATCGACTTGATTCAGGGATGTTTGCGCGATCATAGACCTGGCAGCATGTATCTCGCCGGTTTGCCGGGAACTGGGAAGACACTGACGCTCAAAGACGTCCAAAGAACGACGGAGAAGTGGGGCATCTCTGGGAAGACTCGTCCGCGCGTGGTTTTTATGAACTGCATGTCCGTTCACGATCCGAAGGCGATATTTGGCTTGATTCTTGATGAACTCAACGAAAACGTCACTGCAACTGATCGCGACCCCGCGAAAGAGTCAGTTGAATTCAGCGATGTACCGGAAATCATGGCGTTGCGAAGGGTGGTCACAGAGATGAAGGGTGGGATGGTCATCATTCTGCTCGATGAGATGGATCAATTGGTGACGAGGGCGCAAGAAGTGTTGTATGAACTGTTTGCGCTACCGGCGCTCAGGGGGTCGAGATGCGTGCTTGCAGGCGTCTCCAACGCCCTTAACCTCACCGATCGTGTGTTACCCCGACTTCGAGCTCGCGGGTGCGAGCCTCAGCTCGTGACGTTCGCTGCTTATGACGGCAACCAACTAAAGGAATTGCTCAAGCAGCGACTCGCTGTGCTCCCATTCAACGCTTTCGAAGACAGTGCGTTGGAATTGTGTTCGCGCAAAGTCGGGGCAGCGACGGGAGACATGCGAAAGGCGCTGAATGTGTGCGCCACAGCTATAGATATATGTGTCCAAGAGGCAACGAAATCGACCGAAGAAGCGCACATGGCTAAGGGCGGTGTGAAGATTGCTCACATGGCGCGCGCGCTCTCGAAGACATTTAGTAATCCAGTGGTGGATTCGATTCGGGCGTTGCCACAGATGCAGCAGTTGGTGTTATGCTCCGCCGCGAAGTTATTCCACAGTGTGGGTACGGTGGAAACGACTACGGGTACCCTTCACGATAGATACGTCGTCGTGTGTAAGACTGCTGGTGTCAAGGAACTGTCTCAAGGAGAGTTTTACAACATGTGCACCGCGCTCGAGGATCACGCCCTTGTCAAGGTTGGAAAGTCCGGGAACGATCGCATGCGCAAGTTGAAGCTACAAGTGAAGTACGATGACGTCGTCTTCGCTCTGCAGGGCGTGCACTTCTTCCGGAACTTGTTAGGTGTCACCAACCAGTAGGCTTGCAGTTGTGATGACGAGACGAGGACGTTCGCGCATCTCTGCATAGCGTGGCGCGCGAGAGACATGGCCACAGCCACCCTGCGACCGATGATGCGACTCAACTCGGTGATGGGAGCGAGCTCCTCCAGACGCCACGCGATGCGCGCTCAGGCTCTGAAACTCAAGCGTTTGTCTGTGAACTCGCGTCGACGCGTGGGACTAGTCACGCACGCCGAGGGCGAGAAAGCGAAGCAGCCATCGTCCGGGGTCTTTAACCCGGGCGAGAACTCGGCTCAGTTTTCACGCTTTTATCCTCCTGAGGCTCGAGATTTCACGTACTCTCGGCACATTCTTCTCGCCGTGGACGGCACCACTGCGTCCGAAGACGCCGCTCGATGGACATTGAAGAACGTAATCCGCAGTGGAGATTTGCTTCACCTACTACACGTCGCC